TGGACCGGGCGGAGCCGGGTATGCCAGCTAGTAATCTATAAAGTAACGCTTTTCAAGAAAGCATCTGGTAACAGGGAGAATATATACACGCTGCCGCTGTGTGGCACCAACACTGGCATAACAGCGCATCTACACGTCTCGGGAAATTTTTCAGTGCCGACATAAAAGATATTTTGTACATTGATTTCCAGATTTTGCAAAATTTTCAGTCAAAACCTTACTCTGCAATGTCCGAGATTTTGCAAATTTTTCATTCAAAACCTTACTCTGCAATGTCGGAGATCGACGTTTCGCGCGGTTCCTGCATCCAATAACTTCCACGAATTTTTGTTGGTTCTCCGATTGTAAATGCCATCTGAATATTCCTCGAAGAATAGAAAAAAGTTTTTAACGTCTTTATCTCACCCCAACTACAGTCGGCTCGCTTTGTGGTTTCTTCAACTGACGCTCAGCAAATGATTGAGGACCAGCATGGCTAATATCAAATCCGACAAACATACGAGTCTTTGGAAATAGCGTAGCATCCCTGAAAAAGTATGAGGTACATAGAGAAAAAGCAAAAATTAATTAAACCTACATGTTGCGTAAATCAGAATTTGCCTTGAGGAAACTTTCCGAGATTCGTAAATTATGATTAACTCCTCCAAGTTTCAAATTAAGCTTCAAACACAAGTTTCCAAGGATCATGAATGATCCCTGTAATTACGTGTTGAAATGATGAAAGTTGACACAAAAATTATTTTAACCAAAGCTACCTTATGCCCAATTGCCTTCATCAGCGTTTGGTGGCTGACGTGTTGAGTGATGACTCCGTACTGAGCTTCGAGGCGCTTCATTAGGTCTGCAACATTTATTTGACATGGGTGATAAGTTTTTTTCCGTCATCTCCTAGGTATGAGATAGTTTTCAACTGTTATCTATATTGATCAAAAATGATGGGATGCAAACGGCCATTTAGTGAAAACATGTATGTCGCAAGTCAACTAGGTGCAAAATGAGACATGCACTGCATTCTTTCAAAACAAGAAAAGTAGTAGAAGCTATCTCTAAAGTGCGCATCTCTATGTCGCCTTTTTTGATGTGTAGGAGGCGAAGAATTTTTTCAACCTTATCTTCGGATTTAGCTACTGGGACATACAACGCAAAAAAATTGAAAAATCCCTTTTGTGGCCTTTTCCAAGCAAAGTTCGATAAAGCTCAAACATGGACTTTATTGTACACGTTTCGGAGATAAAAACTGATAAATATAAAGAAGAAAATCACTGGGCAAAGTGGAAGTTTACTAAGATGTCTACAGAACGACGAAGCGCAGTCGCGACATTTTAAAAGGCACTTACATGAGTATAAAAATGTGCAAGTCACTCGTTCGTATTTGTAAGCGATTAGAATA